TTTTCATCTGAGAAATGGGGCTAATTATGGCCGTCCTGCCTACTTCCCACGATTGCTTTGAGGATCAAGGGAGATAATGCACTTAAAAGTCCTTTTGGAAAGGCTAAAGCCTGCTTCAGTGCAAGGTGTTATTAAAAGAAATCTTCCTTAATAATTTCTTCTTCCACAAATGCCACACACCCTTGGATTTCTGGGTTATGTGGTGGTAAAAGTGGCCCAGCTCAGCTTAGCTGTCATGCTTACCCCTGAATATTGTATCTGATTCAGCCTAAGAATCTACACAGACTTAGACATTCTTCCAATGTTGCATCTCTCCTCAATTTACATAGACAAATATGTTCCTTTGCATTTATACTTCTATATTAGAATATATTATTGAGCTCTTCTGTACACCACTGTGTTAGGAATGGAGGCAAAATAAAGCAGCCACAATCTCCACACTATTGGATCTGATAAAGCACATATCATACAAAGTAAATGCTCAGTTTTACCTTTGTTTTGAGGAAGCAATTTCATGTGTGGGTTTTAATTATGAAAGCCATATTTGTATATATTTTTGACTAGAATGATAACTATTTGTAGCCCTTCTTCAAATTTTCCACCTGTTACCGGTCTGTGGATTTTAACTGGACTCTGGAGACTGAAATTAAAAAACAAAATAAAAAAAACAGGCAAAAAAAAAAAAAAGATGAGTTTTCAGGATCTCATTTTTCTTTGTATGAATAAAACTATGACATCCAAGCATTAGCAACAGCCGTGATTAGTTCCAGGAGTGTTTTCCTGCCAGTCTCTGCTATGAAGTAGGATTTTCTTTGATTACTTCTTTGACTATTTTCTTTGGCAGGAGATCATTCCCTAAACTAGGTGAGTGAAATACTGAGTACCTTTGGGGTCAGCCTCCCCAGGCAGATCTCAGCCTTTCTTATCTTCAGCTGCTACCCAAGTCTTAGGGTACCACTGATAGGGATCAGAGAAAGAGATGCACAAGGTGGAACTTACACTTAACCTTGGGAAGAGGCCTAGTGTAAAAGCGGAAGTCCCTCCTGCTAATTGGCTGTCCATCCAGCTGAACTTAAGGCAGACTCCAGCCATGCTGACGGTGTTCCTCCCCCAACTATATTGATTCTTGCCTCCTTCTCTTCTCCATCAACCGTCCTTTCCATCTTAAATCTGGATATAGCATCATCGTGCCCCCAGGCATTGAGGCCACTGGTGACTCTTCCATCTACCTTTCCCCTCTCCAAGCAGTTTATCTTTTCTGCTACCTGAGTTCTTGGCTTCCAAGTGCAGGCCACGAATTCTGATCTCTGTTGTCTGCTTCTCTACATACTGCCCATGCCTGGAGCAGCTTCAAACCACTAAGTGAGGAAGACACTTCCACACCACCTGATTAAAGTAGTTCTTTGGTCCTCCACTTCTTAGTCCAGTTGATGGATTCCTCCCGGAAGCCTTCCTTCACTGTTCCTGGGCTGAGGCAGGATGCCTGGTCCTCACATGTGAACCCATATCCCTCTGCTTATCACATGGAGTCTTCCTTCTCTTTAGTTGTCTTTTTTTGTCGTTTATTTTTTTGAGACAGGGTCTCACTATGTAGCCCAACCTGGCCTGAATCATGTAGCAATCCTCCTGCCTCAGCCTCCTGAGTGCTGGGATTACAGGTATATGCCATCATGCCCAGCCTTACATGTCTCTCTTTATCCTTCAACTCCCTGCCCAGAATTGGGCCCAAGATAAATATTCATTAAAATGCTAGTTGATGAATTGGGCTTTCATTATTTTTTAATCTTTGCCAATCCCAATTTCTTTCAAAACATTTATTCAGTTAGAGCTTTCTCCTTCTGTCTACGACATTGCTCTTTGTTCCTTTCATCCTTACCAGAGTGTATACAGTAAGTTTACTATTATAACAAACTCAACAGAAAGTATATGTGAAAGTAATAGTTTGATTTCTTTAAAGCAGCAAACTTGAGGAACCACACATCTGTTTTCACAGTGTCATAGCTATAGTTGTTTCTGATGCTGCTCTTCAGGGGTGAGTATCTTATCGTTTTCTGAATATATTTCAACGATGACAAGACTGACCTTGCAGTTGAATTTTAAAATTTGTAGATGGCCAATGTACTATGACATATCTTTAATGACTAAAAAGGATGACCAGACTGGTAACACTGTGGGTCAACGACCAAAAACTAATGCTACTAATCTTTCTTTAAACATATCTGCACCAAGGAAATTCTAAAACTCTTTTGACTAATTTGGAGTGTTTCTGATGGTTAAACTCAGGGCCTTTGCATTGAAACACCCCCCTACCTCTAGCCTTTTGTTCATTTTGGGGGAAGGGTCTTGTTAACTTGCCAAATTGTTCAGTATGGGCTTAAACCTGTGATTCTCCTGCCTCAGCCTCCTAGACTTCTGCTGTTGTAGGTATGCACCATCATGTGCAGCTTGATTTTTTTTTTTCTTCCCAGAACCGGGGATTGAACTCAGGCCCTTGCGCTCAACAGGCAAGTGCTTATTCTGCTGATCCATCTGCCCAGCCCCTGATTATTTTATTTTTCAAAAAAAGTTTCTAGCAACTGGAGGAGACTGCTTTCGGTAATAGGGTTGTTTCTTAAGTACTAGTTAAAATTGTAGCTTGGGAACTTTATAGGCCTATTCTCACACTGACTTGCACCTGCTAAGTATTGTTCTATATTTTAGTTCAACATTTATTATGTGACAGATGCTGGGGATGAATAAAGCTATGATATCTGCCCATAAAGACTCCCTAATCTGGCTGAGAAGATAGGGACAAGCTGTCCTGTGTGAAGAATACATACTGGTATATGGCAAAGAAGCAGTGCTGCGGAGGGGTTGTCCCGTAGAGGTAGGGATGCGTTACAGAGTCAGAAAAGCCTCCTTAAGGCTGAAGGATGAATGATGATTAGAAGCTCCTCGATGGAGGAGGCGAGGGACCTACAAGAGCCATCTCCAGCCAAGAGAGCAGAAGGTACAGCTAGGGAATAGCGAGATAAGTTTAGGGAGTCTCAAGTTGTTCAATGTCATTTCTCTGTAAGGCTCACCATGGGTGCAGTGAGGACTGTACCACTTTTAGACGTTTGGACTTTGCTCTGTAGGTGTCAGGGAGAGGCTGTGTCTGTAGGATTTCCTACTAACAGGACTGTAATCTCCCATATCCAATTAGTCATATAGAAATTTGCACTCCCCCCCCCATATTTTCTCAACCATCAATTCCCTCTTCATTCTGTCCTCTACCTCATTCGTTCAGGCCGGCATCATCTCATGCCTGGACTGTTTCACAAACTCTTGCCTGTCCTTGGGCTCTGATTCACCTCTCGCTTCTGACATTCCATTGCGCAGCGGACTATCAGACCAAGTTTTCTTCCCTGGAGTCTCGGCCCTGTTATAAAACCGGAGATGAGGCCAGCCAAATAGTTTAGCGGATTAAAGCGCCTGCAAGCAGGCACAGGGGCTAGGGGTTTGATCCCTGGGCCTTCCGTGCTGCCCCCCTCCACCCCCTCTTGCTGAGACAGCAATTGTGACTGGGCTGGTGGTTTCCGCCTGTGGGAGGCTGTAAACAGGAGAATCACTACGAGTCCGATCTAGTAGTGAGACCCTGAACATCCTGTAGACCCTTCCCTAAAATGCAGGGGGGAGGGGCCCGGGAGATGGCTCAGTGGAAAAAGCGCTTCCCTGGCAAGCTAAGGGCCTGAGTTCAATCCCCGGTTCCACAAAAAAAAAAAAAAAAAAAAAGCAGGGGGAAAAAAAGAGAAAGAAAAAAATAAACCTGAGATGATTTTCAATAGCCGGAGGATAACACCACTCCTCCTTTCCGCATGGGGCCTCCTGGTCCCAGGCCCCTTTTCCTTCTTTAGTGCCCTAGCTGCTAACAGTGCCAGAAGTCATAGATGTACTCCCTTGCGTGTATCTTTGCATTTATAAGGGCTCTCCATTGCAATGGCGCACGCACACAACTTGTAGACATTGTTAATTTTAGCTCTTCCTACTTGTAACCAGGTCAGATCATAGCCCCAGTCTCCTGCCCTAGACATAATCACTATTGGGGTGTGTCCTTTTACATTTGCATATGCATCCACAAATAATATTTTGTTTTGAGAAAGCTTAGGCATACACAATGGCACACATTATCTCTCAGCAATTAATTTTTTCACTATTACTTGGTTTTCAAGATTTATGCTGATCAACATATATAAAGTCCTTCCAATCGCTGCATCGCATTTCATTTTATAAGTACTTATGCTTCATTGAGTCCCCTTAGAAAGGGCATTGCGGTTATGCCCACTTTCCAGCTATTCCAATGTTACAGGAATATCCCAAGCAGGTCTTCACATTTTACTGACCTTTCAAGAGTCTGCTCTCTGTGCAGCTGCCGCATGAAACCCTTTCCAGAATACTCTATCCCGCAGCAGAGGTCTTAGTCCGCGAAGTTCTTATATGTCTTGTTATTTATTAGTCCTCTGTCCCAAGCATGCTGCTACACAAAGTAAGATAACTTACTACACTTAGGATTTGCTAAACGAACCCAGAACAAATGAATGAAGAATGAATGGAGAAAGCCTGCAACCCCAGTTGCCTGCTCTGTTCCTTGCAAGTGAACTTTGGCGCCTTTGCCCCTATTTCCTTCTTTGACAGCACTGGTCCTTCTCTGCCACATTCCTCTGCCTGGCAGCGGAACGTGTCAGAGTGTGGGGGCACGAGGTCTTCGCTCCCTGCAAGTTCAGGATCCCCGGGGTGCCTAGCGTTTGAAGCTCAGAGGCTTGCGCGCACCCCCTCCGCAGGCACGGCCCAGGCAGGCTCCTGCGCGGACCCGGGGCGGGCGCGTCGGAATTCGGCGGGGCTGGGGAGGTCTGGGGGCGCGGGGCGAGCACTGGCAGTGGATCCCTCCGCGCGGAGCTCGGCCGGCGCTTCTTCCTGCGGGAAACCCCTGGGTGCCGGGGCGGCGAGGCCGAGGCCGCGGCGACAGGGGGCGGGGCCTTGCGGTGGGAGGAGGCGGCCGAGGCGGAAGGACACACGAGGCTGCTTCGCTGCACACCCGAGAAAGTTTCAGCCAAACTTCGGGCGGCGGCCGGCGAGCGGCGGAGTCGCTGTGCAGGCGATCGAGGCGTTCACGCTTGAGCTTGGGGACGAAGCGTCGGGCCCGGGCCGCAGCGGCAGGCGGGGAGGGGGAGCGGGACGTCTAGGTCGGGACCCCTCCCCATGTGGATCTGCCCCGGCGGCGGCGGCGGCGGGGGCGGAGGAGGAGGCGACCGAGAAGATGCCCGCCCTGCGCCCCGCTGCGCTGTGGGCGCTCCTGGCGCTGTGGCTGGGGCGCGCGGCCCCCGCGCGCGGTGAGTACCGGCGAGGGGCACCGTCCCGCGCCCGCCGCCCCTTCCCACCCGGCCACCTGGGGCGGCCGCTCGGCGCGCCGACCTCCCCTGCCCGGGCAGACCGGCTCGGCCACTTGCTTCCCGAAAGTCGGGGCAGCGTGGGCCGCGGCCGGGGCGACCGCCCCCGCGCTCCCCTGCGCCCTGGCGCACACGCCTCCTGCCTGGGCGAGGCTGCGCGGCCACCCCGGACGCGACCTCCCCCGGGCGCGGGCGCAGGGCCCTGGGCTGCTTCGCCCCGTCCTCGGTGCGCGCTTCCCGGGGCCGCGGCAGCGCGAAGGAATGCCCGAGGGTGGCGCCGCGGGCGGCGGGCAGGGCGAGGCGGGGCGTGCGGGGGCTCCTGGGCGCGGGGTCCGCGGCGCGCCCGATCTGTGACACTCCCGCGAGCGGCGTCCCGGGAGGAGCTGGGGGTGTGGATGCGTCGGGCGTGTTTCTCCACTTTTGTTGAAAGGTGGAGGCCGGAGCTGTGGGGAAACTGGTGTGGCTGCATGCTGAGCCACATGATTTAAAAATCTCAACTGCTGTTATTCTTTCCGAGGCGCGGAACTGCGCTGCTGTTTCAGTCCGTGTCCAGACCCAGGAATGTGGTGTGACGGTCGCCAACTCCTCCGACCTGGCAGCCGCGTTTGTTGCTTTTTTGGCATGGTTGGGGGTGGGGCTGGGGCGGGTGAGGAAAAGTGGATACGTTGATTCAAAGTGCTTTCCCACAAAGCTTCTTTACGGTTGGATATTCCCAACAGTCTTGCTAACGCGCTCGGAGCGAGGAAAGGAAATCCAATCATAGCTTGGCCATCCCTCCCACACTTTTAGAGCCTGAATTTCTTCAGACTGTTTAGTGCTTGGGGTTGAGGAGCCTGCTCTGTAAATCTGGATACAAATCTGCTATATTAACTCACCAATAAAATGGGAATGAAATTACCCAGCTAATAGGATTAATTAAAAGAATGTATATTAAACCCATGATACTCAGAAGGCGTTCAGCAAGTCCTTTCAGGGCAGAGGCAGTGTTTTGTTCTTCCTCAACTCCTTTCAGTGGGATGGTGTCTTGTGCATGTTTGCTGAACTGAAAAGGGCCTCGTCTCTTACTGAGTCCACCACCACGTCAGGTTTTACCTCTCCTAAAAAACTAGAACGTGAACTATGACTCTTTTTAAAGAGATGAGCCGCAGAAAAATATGGCCTTTGTTCATTGTTAACAGGCATCTGACATGCCAATCACAGATGTTTAAACAAGAGGAAGGTTATTTGTCACCTGAAAACAGTACTGGGTTGTTCAGCCCCAACAGGATACTTCTGGAAAGTTCAAATTTCGTACACCAAAGGTCCCTACCAATTTCAGAAGTGAGCCAGGAGCCTGTGTGGTGCTGAAGGAAAACTTGTTTCTTAAGGGTTTATTAACAGCATTTTTGCTCTTTTCTTTGAGTGAAAGCTTCTGTAGAAGTGTAAATTTAGGATGAAGAGGCGAATAACCTTTTTTTTTTTTGGAACTGGGAATTGAACTCAGGCTCTTGCACTTCCCAGACAAGTGCTTATTCTACTGAGCCATCTCCCCAGCCCCCAAAGAGGCGAATAATTAGTGAAGTAGTCCGAGGGTTGTACCTGTGCTCTACCATTAACTTGCTTTTTTTTTTTTTAAAGTAAGTGATGATCTGCAGTCTCCATACCTATGAAGTAGAACCAAAGGTATAACCTGCTTCACAGAGTCGTAGAAAGTAATAAATATGATTATGAAGAAATAAGATTGATGTCAGAAACAGGATCCATGTGTGGCACATGGGCTTTCTTTCCTTCTGGGACCCCTGTGCCTGGAGCAGGGCTGGTCGACTGTTTACAGCTTTCAGTGGTACGGATACCCCACTAGGGCAGGGGTGCTGTAGGTTTGCCCCCACTGGCCTACGACTGTACCGGCAGCAGTGCAGTACTTGTGCTCTAGTGAGGTGCTGTTGTTGCTGTTTGCTTACCTTTTTGGGGGTCAAGTTGAATGATAGCTTGGCTCACAGGAGAGGACCTAGATGTTTTCAGTTTTAGGCAGGTATTCATACGTGCTAAATTACTGTAATAGAAGAGATTAGAAAACCTGTTTCTTGGTACAAGTCTTAAATAGTCTCCGTCCAGCAGTGAAGGCTTCTTGAGCTCCCTAATACATTGTGATCATGTTTTCCCAGGTAGTAATTACAGTATACTCTTCCAAACCTGAATGTTTCTGGGCTTGGCTTGTGGGCAGTTGTAAAATGGTACTGAGTTCCTAAGGCGCTTTCAGCCCATCCATTGGCCTGAACAGCAATCCTGGACCAGTCTTTGCCTCCTGTCTTCTTTTGCTTTGCAATGAGAAGTGACTCCTTGATTTTGGTGCCTATTGGATAATTTCCTGCTCAATTCTTTTTGTTTGTTTGTTTTTTGAGATAGGGTCTTGCTGTGTAGCCCAGGCTGACCTTGATGGAACCTCCTGCCTCAGGCCCTCCAGTACTGGGATTACAAGTGTACACCACAGCACTCAGCCCTATTTTTTTTTTTTTTTTCTTTTCCTTTTAGATAAAGATGAAATTTACACTAAAACTATCTTCTTTTTTTCTGTGTATTACTATTTACCCTCTTTTGGGGGAGATGGTGGTGGAATGAATACTGGTAGTCTTCTTTTCCTCTGTGTTCTGATTTTTTAGAACAATCTGGTCCTACCATGCTAACCTCTCTCTCAGTCTCATTCCCGCTCTCGTATTTCTTCTGTAGGTTTCGTACAGTGTAGAGAAGTAACTGCCAGTTCACCTGAGTTGTGCATGTGAGCTTCAGCACCTTGAAAGAATGTCTAAGCTCAGTGGGATATGCTCGGGTGGTTCAGAACAGCCTTATAATACATTTTAAAAATATCACACCCACAGAAATTCTATTTGGCCCACAAAATTTGCATTGATCTGGTTCCCACTCTCTGATGCCATTCCTGGTGATCCTCCACCCTGCCTCTTCCTTTGTGGTAGGACAAAGCTGTATGTCCTGGCTGCATGAAAATCAGCTGGAATGATTCCTGGACTCAGCACTGGGCATCGAATACAGGAGGTCTGAGAGTCTGTGTTTTTATTAAAGGCTTATATGTCGTTCGGGTTGGAACTCACAGATGAGAATTTACCTACCCTCAGGTGGCATGCAGGAGTTTTCCTTCTACATTTTAATAATTTTTACAGTGAGCCCATCCTTAGCCAATCATTCCACTGTTTAATTCTTCTAACTTCTGAGGAACTGAGAAATTGCTATAGAATATATTGCCATTCCTTCTTATTCATCTGGGCCCAGTGTGTCTCCATTGTCATTTTAGAGGGACTTCTTATATTTGAATGCTATTATAAATTCTCCCCTCCCCTTCTTTTATCTTGTTCTTTAAGTATCATTGACATTTATCACTTTTTGATCCTTTGTTCAGAGTGAAAAGAAACTGGAAGGCATTATCAGAATGAAAGCATAAGAAGAGATTTGATATTCGTAGTTATCCTTATGTTGCGTTTAGGGTCCATAGTTAAATGCTTCATTTCTTGAGAGCTCTCTCCAGACTTCGCTCCTTGACTCTTTCCTTTTCCTTCCATCCTTTCCTGATTCTCTTCCTGCCTTCCTCCCTTTCTCTGCAAATGATTCTCATGTAAGGTTTTCATTTCTTCCGTTTTCTGGTTCTTTTTTTTTTTTTTTTTTTTTTTTTAAATCAGTCTACCAGATGTGTAGGATTTTGGAAAGATCACAAAAATAAGAGTCAGAAGAACAGAATTCTCTTCTAGGTCTGTTATAAAATTGGTGAGGTGACACACTAGGGAAGATACTGCTTTGACCCTTGTATTAGTTCTTTTCCTGGTTACTGGCACACAGTGCCCAACACCATAACTTAAAGGATAAAAGGTTCATTTTTTTTTGGGGGGGTACCAGGGATTGAACTCAGGACCTTGAGCTTGCCAGGCAAGCACGTATTCCACTGAGCTATCTCCCCAGCCCCCGAAAGGCTCATCTTAAGGCACAGCTCATAGAGGCTTCAGCACACAGTGGGCCGATCCAGGGCAGGATGGCACACCTCAGGAGTATGAGGGATTTGAACAGAGAGAAAAGTGAGGAACTGGTGGAGGAGGTGGACCCTTCCAGGCCACACCCACAGTGACCACCAACTGGACCCATGCCTAAGACGTCCTAAAATGCTTCTTGTTAATGAACACTTGAGGGAAAGAGTTGTGTCTTTTTAGTTAAGTGTTTATTGTAATGCTCACACTCCTGCCCCTCTGTCTGGCATGGATTTTGGCATCTTAATAGGCATATCTTATTCTCTCAGTTGGACAATTAGTTTTAATCATTTACTTATACTGAACTACTATGATATTCCCAGACAATTTTACAATAGTATTTGCAGCATTGAAACCTCTTTTTTTTTTTTTTTTTAGCGAAACCGGGGATTGAACTCAGGCCCTTGTGCTTGCCAGGCAAGCGCTTATTCTACTGAGCCATCTCCCTGGCCCCTCATTGAAACCTTACATTGGGAGAAAAACCAGAATTGTTCCTAACTTAGGTGCTTTATTTAAATTTGTCATTCTGAATTTCTTTGTGTGTGTGTGGTTTCATTCATTCATTCATTCATTCATTCATTCATTCATTTTCTTTTTCCTGATCACTTCTACTATTTACAAATGTCGCTTTGACTCTGGAGTTCAACTTCAGAGCACTGGCTTTCGCCCCTGCCTCTCTCTCCCCTGCTTCCTGATTTAACAGTAGGGGCTACCAGTTTCTCCCCTTTTGTTCAGTTGTTGAACTTTTTTGTATGTTTATCATTTTTGAGACTATTCTTTTTTGGAATGATATTTTTTACCTTAGCATTGACAAAGTTAGTTTGTTTCAATGATCTGTTTGAGGTTTTTCATTATAAGCAGGTTATCAATATGGACACTTAGTAAATTGTATTTTTTCTCACTAAGTGAGTTCCCTGGACACCACTACTGAGAAAC